GAACTATTGTCGGAACCGGACTTCAAAAGGTGGATACGATTAGAGGGAAGACATTTAGATTCCTAAAGTGAGTAACCACAAGAAGTGATCGTTAGCAAACCGGGAATTGATTTCCTCATACATCATCGGTTTTGAAGGAGTTCAAGAACAAAGGTGATTTTTATAAATTACATATCAAATCAAAATTAGTAAAAGTTACTAGATTTTAAATAATGCTTATTCGTTATATCGTTATACTTATGTACGGAATAAGTATTTATAAGATAAATACTTATAAAATTTTAAATTCCGCTGTAAACTCTGTTCCGTACGGTATATTGAACCTAACAGTGGTATCAGAGCCACGTTACAATTTGCATCTTTAAAATCAGATTTTGATTTGAAAAATTGTTAAAAACACGAACTGGAATAAAAATCGAATAGAGTATTCGAAAACACGAGTCGTGAAGAATGACACGACTTGTGTGACCGGTCGTGGGGTCACACAACCCGTGTGAGAAAGTCACACGAGTCGTGTGACTGGTCGTGTCACCTCACACGAGTCTTGTGAGATGTGACACGACTCGTGTGACATAAAGATTTTTCTGAAATTTTCCATAGTCACTTTCGTATTTTTCACACGAGTCGTGTGAGTGAGCTACACGAGTCGTGTGACATGTCACACGAGTCGTGTGACTTATAACACGAGTCGTGTGACTGATTTTTTATCAGAAACGAGCTGTTTTGACTTAATATGAGTCATTACTACATCAACATATTAAACTAGTGATATGGTTGATTTAGGGATGATCATGAGCCTTTTATTTATAATGATGAATGATTGCATTTTTATTCAATGTGATTAAACGGATGTAATTTATCGAGACCTGCGAGTCTCTTGATTTATTGTTTGTAAAATTTTAAATTTTTCTATCGTTAAGAGATTAGATCAAGGTGGAGACCGTTCGATGCGAAAGGCCCACGCATGTGAGGGTAATTTTACAAGTTGTAAATCTCGAAGTCCTGTGCTTGTACGGATAGATAAAATAAATTGTAATAGAAGTAGTTCTATTTATTTGTTTTATCACGTACATAGGCATAGACCCATTTTGGCTCGAATGGGTCGTATAGGCAAGGACATGATCATCCCACCGTATGCATGCATTAGATGTATGCTAGGTTTATTTATGCTTGTGATTCATGCGATGAATAATGTGGTAAATAAACACACGTAAAGATGGTAATTGATGAGATCTAAGGAACCCTAAAGAATTAATTTGATTAATTCTATATCAAATCATTAATGGATAAAAATAAGTTAGAACTTATTAATCCAAGCCTTCCATCAAAAGTAGACGACATGAGATACTACGATGCTTTATCACCGACCATGAGTCGTGGGGTGGTTTAGTGTCGAAAGTTGTGA